ACATGGGTAGGTGAGTATGGTCACAAATCCTGAGTCTCTTTGGTATTGCCTTCTTAGCACCAGGGATAATTTATCACTCTGTCAGTCAACTTCTTCATTTTCATAAAAAATCTAACATTTGCATCACTGTTAAGTAATAGAGTGGTGCCCCTTTGTAAAAATATTGAATTAGTTCTAGCAAAACTACTCCAATGATTTTTTTTAAAAATCAAGCAAGGATTTTATTCTTTACATTAATTTCATTGGATTATTATTATTTTGATCTACATAAGGAACTGTAACATTAATACAAAGTATTTATTAAGATAATGCTTTCATTGCATAACAAGTTTATTTTTTCTTAATAAACATTTTGACTTCTTAAGCTGACCTCTGCAAGATACTTATTTAATACATTGATTTTAGTCAAAGAAACCTTCTATCTAGAATATTTCATTTAATTTCATTTATATCTTTGTCAAAATACTCAAATAAAATAGCTGAAAGTTTGTGAAAATGATGCATGTAATTAGTCTCAGACAATTTGTTGGAAGGTCACCAAAGGTGAATTGATCACTCTCATAAACAAAATACAAGAGATATGTTCTTTGTAAAATGTAAAAAAAAAAAGATATTCAGGCAATAAAATTCAACATTATCCTATTGAATTATTTAAATCCTAAATATGTACCAGGTATATGTATTTGAGAAAGCAGCACATTCTAATTTTATGTTTTATATCTTACAGAAGCATCATGACCACCACTAAATAGATGGGAGGCATTCAACTTACACCGCAGGGTATAAAGCAGTCATACAACCCCCATCACTGCTGATCAAGGATTTAATTGTAGTGGAACAAAATCTTAACAAACACTTTATACTTTTTATCCATTGATAGTCCATATCCATTGTTTATATATTGTTGTTATAAGGTAGCTTTGTTGGGTTTTCAATTGTTAAGAATCATTTTAATATGTAATCCACAGTATTATGATTTGAATATTTTAAAGATATTCAAAGATTTTCCCTGTGTTGACTTCTTAGTATTGGAGTGATAAGAAACTTTTCTTTCTGTAGTAAAAAATTGAAAGCTATATAATCTGATATTCTTTTACTTAATGTATAGTTTACAAACAGGATACTGATCCTTTTTTTGTAATTCCAAGTCATGCAATTTAGAAACATGTAACAAAATTATCAAGAAAATGTAGAGGCACTGCATTAATTAGCTTTTCTTTTTATTTTTTCTTTACATGATGACACTCTGCCATTCAGCCAATGGAATGCTCACTGAAAGGTCTGGAATAATGAGTGATTACAGCTAGAGCTCTGCCTTTCAGTCAGCCTTCAGTAAACATTCAGTCATCTTTCAGTTTTACTGAATGGCAGATATTTATCCTGTGCTTTTTAAGAAACAACATATCTTTAGCATTTTAAAAATATTTTTTAATTTACTTTCAAATTTATTAATATTTATGGGGAGAATACTAATCTTGGTGGGGATTTTTATAAACGTTTTTTAGAATTATATATCTGCTTTCTGAATGTACAGTTTCTTGATATGTGTATATAGATTTTAATAGGCGCTGCAGCATTATTCTTGTACAAAGACCAAAGCTTACTGTACAGTTTACTCATATCATTTCTTATTGTTGTTCCATATTTGTATTTCTTTTCATTTATTTATTTACACAACTTTATTTTATCATATTTTAAACAGTTCTTCTATTTCACAAATCCTTATTTTTATAGATAATTTAATATTGTATGTGCTCGGATATTAACTTACAAATTTTATTCATTTTTCAAGACTTTTATAACCTATTGTTTTTTTTTTTTACAACTTTTACCGCAGAAATCAAATTTTAAAACTGTTTTATGTGTAATAGCATTTTACAGTGTAAACAAACATTCTTATAAATAGGTCCTAACACAGGGCCCGACTTCTATAGTTTTCTATAGTTAGTTTCTCCTGCATTCTCCTGCTTTAATTAGCTCCGCATGCATACATGAATATACCAGTATGTAGCTCATATTGCTATAGATCTGCCTATAAATGTGTTGTGAATTATTCCGGCATGTAGAAGTTTTATAAAGATATTAAATATTTATTTCTTCGTCACTATTTCTCTTGTTTTAAGCAATGAATTTATTTTTCAGTGACAACAAAATGGATAATAAATTGAATAAACAATGCACCATATTGATTATGAATTATGTACTGTATACAATATTATCCAGAAGGGCAAGAATTGACAAAAAAACGTTTGTTTAATTGATCTCCATTTCTTTCTCAGAATTTAATAAATGTTTCATTATTTTTCACTCGCAATGGAGTTGGATGGGATATAGTAACACATATGCGTGTTTCAGTTTGTGTGTCTGTTAACTTAAAATTGTTGGAAATGGGAAATGACGTACTTTGCATCAGCATCTATGTCGAATGCTGTCTTGATTTAAGATGATCATTGTGAGGGGATGCTCTGCTTTGCAGTGTCCTTGTTTATTCTCAGTTATAAAATTGTACCCAATAGTCCACCAACGTTATCTAAGAAGGAGAACCCACTCTTCTTGCATCTTTAGGGGGAGCAGATTGTCCCCCTTGGTAACAGTCCTACATGTACCAGTTAATAATTATATAGAAGGTTCTATTCTGTACATTTTTTTTCCTTATCACGATCATCAGATCCTCAAGGTCTCAAAATAGTGTGTTTTATACACTAAAAATTATCAATAGTGGAATAAGGATCTTCAATAGTAGGGATATCAACAAGTGCCTGGTTAACCAGGAATAAAACCACATCTTCTAACTGTACCTGGAACATGATCACAAAATGTTGAATGTATCAAGTATCCCTCTTTGCAAGTTTGGTCATCAATGCCTAATTATCACTGGGATGTTCAAAATGATCACTAAATTTTAACAAGCGGCCCATGGGCCTTAACGGTCACTTGAGTATCAAAAGTTTTTCAAGCTAAGAGCGTATATCTGCTTTGAGTCCACCTGGAATTGTCTAAATGGACATATATCGCATTCATTTTACAGTTTAATGAGATCTCTGTAATTGTTACCAACTTCATACACCTTGACCTCTGTTACTCGATGAGTGAATGACATAAACAATGTATAATTCATTTCGATACATGACATTCCTCCAAACAATTTTGAAGATTTCTCCTATTCCTACATAAAATTTGATCCCCAATTGTGCCCCTTCCCCTCCCCTTAAAATGTTTGGGGAAAATACTTGAATCTGCATCACCTGAGTCCTTTAACTGGCATAATATGACTCTTTCATATATAAGCTCCTATACTAAACCTTGATCTTCCAAAGTAATATGGCCCCATCCTACGTTTTCTTATTAACTGGTTTCTATGTGTGTAATTCTTTGAAAAAAGAAAGAAACAAACAAACAAACATCATGAATTTTTTGATAATTTCATTTATTCAAGTTTGTACTCACTGATCAACCCTCATGCTTACTGGTTTTATCTATAAGTAATATCAGTATAATTTTTTGTTGTTGATAAAATTACCGACATCAATATTCATATCTATATGCCTTTTTGTAGAGAACTGCAGCTCAGAGTTCTAGCATCTAATGCAATGGACTGAGAAATGAAACATTTCATAACACTTTGTTCTTTGGTTCCTGTAATATCGTTCATTAAACTACTCTAATGTATAAATAAAAAGTCTTGGCAAAAGGTGCTTAATTCCAATTACAGTAAAACTCGTTTAGTACGAACACGGATATAGCGAATTCACGGATATAACGAAGTTTTTCTAGGTCCCTGGCAAAGTTCTTAACAAATCTTTGTAAAACTTAACGGTTATAATGAACTCTGATATAACAAATTTACAGATATAGCGAACTGATTTTGAGTCCCGTTGAGGTTAAATATAATGAAATTTACATCTTTTACAACGAACTTTCAAAGATCTTAATATTTGGTAAACTGAACTGACTTTATTTTCCTTCAGCATTTGTATATAAAATTTAATTCATAATAAAATCTTAGTTATCGAAGGTATGTTTCGTAATATTTGCTTCCCTAACATATTTGATAGTAACACTTGAAGGAAAACATGCATATTGCGAATTCGCTATATGGTTATACGAATTTGTTATACGGATATAATGAATTACGGATATAGCGAATTAAATTCATAGGTCCCCAGGACTTCGCTATAACCGATTTTTACTGTACACTGAAAATACATAATTAACTCCTAAAAAATTATCACAGTTCAATTTATAGCACCTTAACTTGAGATTGACAGGCAGACATACAGACTAACATTTTCTACAAAAACCCTTCTAAAACTTGGTTTTGAGAGGTGTGTCACTAATTAAGGAATATCATCTTTACATTCAATCAGTCTTCATAATTACATATGATGTGCATAAGTTTGGTTTGAACAATGACAAAGATTATGAATATTTGTACAAGATAAAGATCAATGACAGTTTGGAATAGAAAATTCATCATGTACACAGTTAAATTCAAATATAAATTTATTGACAAATGAATTACAATGTACTGTGCTGGAATCTGAAAAAAGCATATTTTACATTTATATAATTTGTATGTAAATAAAAGTAAAAATATTCATACTCAATGGAATGTAACTGAAATACATTGCCATTATTTTTTTTGTTTTATTCTATTTTTTGTTTCCTCTGCTCTCTACCAAACTTAAATGGTATCAAACACAGACATCAATAAAAACAAGAGGCCTATAGGCCACATCACTCACCTGAGAAGCTTTGACCATGCTGTTCTTTACCAAATTTCCCCCTTGTAATACATATTGTGACCACATCCTATCACATGGGACATAAATTGGACAATTTAAAATCTACACTACCCCAGGATGCTTCCACATAAATTTCATATTTTCTGGCCCAGTTGTTCCCAAGAAGATTTTTAAAGTTTTTTCCTATATATATCTATATAAAACTTTGATTCCCTATTGTGGCCCCGCCCTACCCCTGGAGGTCATGATTTGAACAATTAAGAATCTACACTACCCCAGGATGCTTCCACATAAATTAAGTTTCATCTTTTCTGGCCCAGTGGCTCTTGAGAAGAAGATTTTTAAAGTTTTTTCCTATATATTACTATGTAAAACTTTGATTCCCTATTGTGGCCCCGGCCTATCCTGGGGGTCATGGTTTATACAATTTAGAATCTACACTATCCCAGGATGTTTCCACATAAGTTTCAGCTTTTCTGGCCCAGTGGTTCTTGAGAAGAAGATTTTTAAAGTTTTAACCTCTATATTTCTAATATGTAAAACTTTGATTCCCTCTTGTGGCCCTGCTCTTCCCCTGGAGGTTATGATTTGAAGAATTAAGAATCTACACTACCCCAGGATGCTTCCACATAAGTTTCAGCTTTTCTGGCCCTGTGGTTCTTGAGAAGATTTTTTAATGACCCCACCCTATCTTTGTCTTTTCTTGATTATCTCCCCTTGTGAAGGGACTTGGCCCTTATTTAACAATTTAAACTTCCCTTTACCCAAGGATGCTTTGTACCAAGTTTGGTTAAAATTGGCCTAGTGGTTCTCGAGAAAAAGTTGTAAATGTGAAAAGTTGACAGATGGATGGACAGACGGACGGATGACAGACAAAATTGAAAATACGATCAGAAAAGCTCACTTGAGCCTTCGGGTCAGGTGAGCTAAAAAAAAGTAAGAAAGCACTTAAAACAAAACATGAGATTTGAACAAGTCTATAGAAAGAGATGCTTTTTTTGAAAAATGGATTACAGAGAGACCAACAAATCGAATGTAAACAGAAAACCTTACCAGCTCTTCTGGTCTTTGTTCTTGTAGACTGGTATTTTTTCTAGGAAATGCAAGTGTCACAAAACAAAAAAATGGACACGTCTTACAAAGCAGTTTGTTCATCATATCAGCTACACATACTTCATATTTACATAGTACCACTTATTAGTATAGTTTGTTTACTGAATAACTAATGACTCATTGGCAACAAGGGGAAGTAAATAATGATTATGAACTGGAGAGAGAATAAAACACAAATACAAACATACTGTCTTAAAGAGATGATAAAAAACAAAGTACAGAAATTGATGAAGCTTAGAGTGGGATCCACCATGGAGGGTAGTAGTCCTTTCTTATTGTGTTGTTCCCCATGACGGTGTTTGGCTGTGGGTAACCATGATAATAGATGACCTCTCCCCCCGTCATGTACCCCGCCCACCAGGAGTACGACCCAGCACTCATCACCATGTGATCACAGGAAGACATGATGGCAAAGTCTAAATACCCATCCGTGTTGTGTGAGTAATGAACGTCAGGTGAATCGTCTAAATTATCCATCGACCATATCACATCATTGCTACACAAGATAAACAGTACATTTTTGTATTTTTTCCTGAAATAACTCATAGCTCTATAAAAGTAAGGTATTGGGGCGACTGTGTATCCCTTTCTTTTCTGTCGTACGAAATCCCCTCTTCTCACATGCACTGCGACTAACACTGCATCTTGTTTCTTACGTTCTTTTCTGACATTGTTAATATAATCCATGGCAGCTTTTTTCAGATGATCATGAAAAACAAAATGTTCTTTCAGCAATTCTTTACGAACATTTTCAAAATACCTCCAGGATTGTAGATACCCCATTAAATAAGCTCCCTGCGATGTGTCTAATTGCTCTGTCATATTACACCAACCAGAAGGAAGCTGTTCTCTGTATCGCTTGAAAGTGTCTAAATTTTCTACACTGCCTTTTGGTATTGGTAATTTAAACATATTCCAGATTGTTGTGGACTCCACTAGAATGGGAGTCATATTGTTCCTCTTAGCTGCTCCTATAAGTGTACCATACTCAAACATATGGTTACCATTTCTCCCCCAGAATGTGACGGTCACTTTTTTCCTGGGGTCGGGATTCGGCATTATGGGCGGGGGTTTGGGTTCTAGCTTCATCGTCCCATCGTATCGAGTACTATAAACCAGTACTAAGACAACAGTGATGCCAAGAACTCCCAAGAACCACTGCTGAGCCTGAACTACTCTGTAAATAATAAAAGTTGTACTTAAATCACTTAAAAATCCTAATATAAGAAGTGTACAATTTGCATTTATCTCTATTTAAAATGTAAGCTAATTTTTGTTATTAATAACAAGATAATAGTCTTAAATGCTCTTGGTTAAAAAATTGCTCCAATAAGGCTATTTTGACTCTGATTTTAAAATGCAACTAACAAATAAGATTAATGAAATCATAGTCTTTGTTACTCAAACCTTTAAATCTTCCAAATGTATATCATGATGAGTGCTTAAAAATTAAAAGTGTATATTAAAGTTTGGATGATATCCAGTAAAACACAACTGCACTCACCCCCAAAAGTTGCATCAACAAAGTCAATGTTGTGTTAAAAAAGCTTTTCATATAGGCTTTTATGTAGCTCAATGAATTTTTTTCTGATGAGTTATTAAACATTTTATCATAGACACTTGGTAAAGCAACTTACATACAACGTCATGTGACATCAAAGTCGAGACATACCAATGTCACATGCAGTATGAAGTGCCTGATCTAAATTAAAACTAAATAGGTGTCTGCACTTGCCTTAACGGCCGCACCATCAACATACTAAATACAACTGTGCTTGCCTCAATTGGTCGAACTGTAAAACATAAAGGATAAAAATGTATTGAAGTGCAGTGGTTTGGGCCGTGGATATCAACCTGGTTAGCTCAGTCAGTAGAGCACCTGACTAGAGATGCAGGGGTCCGAGGTTCGATTCCCAATCCAGTTATACATTTTCTCCTACCCTGTTACAGATTTGGTGCTATAGACCGACTAATCTATGCTTTACTCACATTGGTCAATATTTTTATGACCTACAAAGTGTTCCTCTCTCATTCAACCATGGTCAGAATGGAGGAGGATGTACATTTTGGTCATGATGAATGTGTATTTGGGGGCGAAGACAATTTAAGGAGGAAGGAATGGAATGGTTTGGGCTTTGGATATTGGCCTGGGTAGGTCAGTCCGTAAAGCACATGACTAGTGATGCAGGGATCCCGGGTTCGATTCCCTGTTTAGACATACATTTGCTCCCTTCTTGTTACAAAAACAAATAAATCCCTAGAGGCTAGATCTCTCTACATCATGTACTTACCAAACCTAGATAGCTTAATCAAGAGATTGCGCCGAATATGTTCTCTGATGGGAAAAAAAGTAAATAAACAATTAGGTGATGACCATCGTCAGACATGATGTGAATAAAAGATAAAGAATGAATTTTTACCTCGTAGGACCCATGGTATGACTAAAATCAATGGCATAAGTCATGTATTTGCTCTGTCGGATACAACATGTTGCTACAGGAAATTATAATACGCCGACTAAAAACAAAATTTACTGCTGTATATGATTCCGGAAAAAAAAAATTTTCAACTAATTTATTACTGAAATTTCGTTTTAACAAAAGCTTTAAAATGAAATAAGATAGATGCAATTTCTTCTAAACAGAAAGTAGAAAGTACAGCAGTATGACAATAAACAACGCATTGAAGATATTAGATCGGGATCGAAATCCTCTCTCAAAATAATTTTTCCCGAGTTGACTCGAAACCAAAACTAAAATTATTGTAACAATCTGGTAAGAGAAAAACTGGTGATATACAGTGACAAATAATTTTCTTGATAAGTAATCGTAGATATATTTTTGGCACAACTATATTTGCGCATTTTTCTGTCTATTGAAGTTTCAGTAGAGGTTTTCCGACACAATGCCTTTGGCACACAATAGAACAGGACCACTGCTGAAGAAGCTCAGGACATTGATGAGTAATAGGAAGTATGTACCAGAAAGCATTCAAGCTTACATCGTGCCTTCAGGAGATTCACACCAGGTGAGATCATACTGGGTTTAGACAACCCATAAAAATCCATCACATGAACCCTCAGTGAGAGGGAGAATAATATTGCAGGTGTTTAACACTATAAATACATTTGATAAATTTCTCTATGGGTTTGTACAATGGGATTCAGATAGCTCAGTTGGTAAAGCACTTGGTTGGGGAGATTCAGAGGGCACAGGTTCGAATCTTGTTATGGTCTGTCACATATTTCCTCTCCAGTTACATTTGGTGCGGTGCTAATCTGAGATTCCTCTGACTCTGTACACATGTCACAATATAAAAAGCAGGGGTAAGAGTCGGAGGAATCTCGGATTAGTGAAGTGCCATCGTTGGAAGTGAGAGGTAAAAGACATGCCAGGGAAGAGCTTGGGTTGGTGTCTTCAGGGGCCAAACAGCTTAAAGAAGGGAGGAATGTGACAGATGGGTTCTAGCTGCAGAACTGTAGCTCTCTGCTTGAGAGAATTCTGACAGATAAAGCAGAGAGCTACAGATCTAAGTGTTGAAAAAAACCTTGATTTGTGCCGCTTCTTTTTTGTTTCTCTATTCATGTATTATTAGCTCACCTGAGCTGAAGGCTCAAGTGAGCTTTTCTGATCAAAATTTGTCCGTTGTCTGTCGTTGTCGTCGTCGTAAACTTTTCATATTTTCATCTTCTTCTCAAGAACCACTGGGCCAATTTCAACCAAACTTGCCACAAAGTATCCTTGGGTGAAGGGGATTCAAGTTTGTTCAAATGAAGGGCCACGCCCTTTTCCAAGGGGAGATAATCATGAATTAGAGAAAATTAATGGCATTTTTAAAAAATCTTCTTCTCAAGAACCACTGGGCCAGGAAAGATGAAACTCATTTGGAAACATCCTCAGGTAGTGTAGATTCAAGTTTGTTCAAATCATGACCCCCGGGGGTATATAAAGGAGAAATCTTCTTCTCAAGAACCATTGAGACAGGAAGGATAAAACTCCTGTGGAATCATCCCCAGGTAGTGTAGATTTAATTTTGTTCAAATCATGACCCTGGGGGTAGGGTGGGGCCAAATTGGCCGACCAAAGTTTTACATAGGAATATATAGGAAAAATCTTCTTCTCAAGAACCATTGAGACAGGAAAGATTAAACTCCTGTGGAATCATCCCCAGGTAGTGTAGATTCAATTTTGTTCAAATCATGACCCCGGGATGGGATGGGGCCAAATGGCCGATAAAAGTTTTACATAGGAATATATAGGGAAACCTTTTAAAATCTTCTTTTCAAGTACATGTACTTCAAAGCCATGCTTAGTGATATTTATAGGGAATCATCCTCAGGTAGTGTAGATTCAAGTTTGTTCAAATCATGACCCCCTGTGGGGTTAAAATTCAAGCCCCCTACCCCCCCCCCCCCCCTTCAGTAAACTTTCAGTTCTGATCTGATATGTGCTTTTTCCTAACCAATTGTTCAGGTGAGCGATGTGGCCCCTGGGCCTCTTGTTTCATCATATCATATCTTATAACATTTTTCTCCTCTCCAGTTCTTAATGAAAAATATCATTATCAATTATTTAATTCTGATATAATTTTCTATCTAAATCTCTCTATGGAAGTGTAATGTTCCCATAAAAATACTAGTTAATTTAATGGAACAGAGCTTGATGGAAAGCAAGACAACTGTCATGAACAGAAATTAGGCATTGAGTAAAATTGGGGGGGGGGGGGGCTTAATGGGAAGAAGCTAATTGGTGAAGATTCATTGAAAATTGAAGGTATAAATTTGATATGTTTTAACATGTTTACACTTCAAATTAATTTTGTGTTGCAAATGACAACCTTTATTGACCATGATACTTGAACAGAATTATATTAGATAATGGTCGGTAGAAAATTTAATCCAGTCAGCTAGGTATGAATTACAACTGCCTTCTCTTTACAATTTGATGATCTCTCAGTTGAGCAGTTTATTACTTACAGAGCGAGTACATAGCTCCTTGTGACTGTAGAAGAGCATTCATCTCAGGATTCACAGGATCTGCAGGTTTGTATTCAAAAATACTTCCTTGAAAGAAGCTATATAGTAAATTTTTTCATCATCTTTTATCCTGACATGTCATTTAGCAGTCATAAATAACAAATGCAATGATCATCATCTTTGTTATTATAAAATATACTTGAATATTTAAAATTTTCATTTCAAAGAACAATGCTTTCAAATAATAAATTTTTGCTCAACAGACATGATAGACATTTTAATAAAAAAGAATTAAGCTTTGTTCTGAATATTTGACAAAAACTTGTTAAATCCCTGTTATAGGGACAGCAGTGATTACGGCAGAAAAGGCAGCTCTATGGACAGATGGCAGGTACTTCCTACAGGCAGAAAAACAATTGGACGAAAACTGGACTCTAATGAAAGATGGTAAAATATAAATATTTCTGTCACATTTCCTCTGTGTATTACTGTAAACCAACTTTATTCGAATGCAAGAAATTTTTGCAAGGTTCACGAGAGCTTTGTCATTGCAAATATTTCTCGGCCTGAACCGGTATATAAAGTCTCTATGTCTATTAACAACAGGTCAAAAAAGGTGAAAATCTATTGTCGCAAACTAGTTTACCCCAGTAAAATGTGAAATAAAGTCATCGCAAATACCTTTACTCTGATTTTCTATTGATTTAATCTGCCAATTAGGACAGCCCAGCACTCCCACACAGGCAGACTGGCTAGCTAAGGTAGGCTTACAATCAGAATCGATGAAATCAGAAATTGATACTTTTAGTACAGCAATTATATATCTGTATTAAATAACATCTCCTTATTTTTATGTTTGAGTAATTTGTCCAGAACTTGTCATTGCATAATGTCTATTTATAGGAACTACCTGTGGGTGGAACAGTAGGTGTGGACCCATGTCTGATTTCTGCAGGTAAACAAAAATAAATTTATCATACTTTGGAATATTTTTATTTGTGTGGGCCAATTTTTAGCTCACCTGAGCTGAAGGCTCAAGTGAGCTTTTCTGATCAAAATTTGTCCGTTGTCATTGTTGTAGTCGTCGTAGTTGTCGTTGTTGTCGTCGTAAACTTTTCACATTTTCATCTTCTCTCAAGAACCACTAGGCCAATTTCTACCAAACTTGCCAAAAAGTATCCATAGGTGAAGGGGACTCAAGTTTGTTCAAATAAAGGGCCACACCCTCTTCCAAGGGGAGATAATTATGAATTTGTGAAAAATTAATGGCATTTTAAAAAAATCTTCTTCTCAAGAACCACTGGGCCAGGAAAGATGAAACTCAAGTGGAATAATCCTCAGGTAGCCTAGATTCAAATTTGTTCAAATCATGATCCCTGGAGCTAGGGTGGGGCCATAATGGCCGATCAAAGTTTTACATAGGAATATATAGGAAAAATCTTTAAAAATCTTCTTCTGAAGAACCATTGAGACAGAAAAGATGAAACTCATGTGAAATCATCCTCAGGTAGTGTAGATTGAAGTTTGTTCAAATCATGACCCCTGGGGGTAGGGTTTTACATGGGAATATAGATCTACAATGGCAGAAAAGATGATCAAAGTTTAGACGTTCAAATCATTGGAATATGTTGGGTAATCTTAAAAAATCTCCTTCTCAAGTACTGCAAAGCCATGATTAGTGATATTTATATGGAAGCATCATCAGGTAGTGTAGATTTAAGTTTGTTCAAATCATAACCCATTGGGGTAAGGTGGGGCCACAATGGCCAATCAAAGTTTTTCATAGGAATATGTTGGGAAATCTTTAAAATTCTCCTTCTACTGCAAAGCCATGATTAGTGATATATATATATGTAGAAGCATCCTCAGGTAGTGTAGAATTAAATGTGTTCAAATCATAATCCCCAAGGGTAGGGTAGGGTCTCAATGGTGCATTTATTGAATAAGTTTTACAATAGGAAAATAAAGGGAAAAATCCCAAGAAGAAGAAAGCTATGTTTAGTCTATTTGTTTAGTGCTATGTTTTATGTATTGAGGATTCAAATTTGTTCAAATCATGACCCTCAGGGGTAGGGAGGGAAACAACGGGGAATCAAATTCAAATTATAACGAAGTAATATAGACAAACAAAATGTAAAAAAAATATTAAAAACGTTTTCTCAAGAACAGCAAAGTAAATTGCTGTATTGATATGGAGGCATTCTCAAGTAGTATTAAAATTCAAGCCCCCTCCCCCCAATAAACTTTTCATTTCTGATCTGATTTATGCTTTTTCATAGCCAGTGCGCTCAGGTGAGTGATGTCACCCCTGGGCCTCTTGTTTTTTATTGCTGTCAATTTACAAGATTTGAGGGAAAATTACTTCATGCAATAATTGGCATTACTTAGTATGTAATTTGTATCTCCTTGGAACATATTGATTCCATGGTTAATAACATTATTTTTGCTAGTAATATTTCGCATATTAAACAAAAAATACCTTGTTGATTTGAATTTGCGATAATTTTCATACAGAGGCTTGGAAACCCCTGAAGAAAAGTCTCCAGTCTACCGGTCACAGCATCATAGCTGTCCCCTATAACCTGATAGATCTAGTGTGGGAGGATCAGCCCCCACCCCCAATGAATCCACTCCTGACACTCTCAGAAAAATACACAGGTTAGTTGTCTTAAATGTTTCATCCTTGTAAGAGACAGATGATTAACGAAGAACTCACAATTGTACCTTAGGTTGATAGGAGGTTCTGATTTTTTTTAATGACTTTTTAGGTTCTGTTTATCTTGGCACTTCTTACTGGTATGGGTATGTGTTTTAGGTATGAGCTGGCCCGAGAAAATTCAAAAAGTACGAGAGAAAATGCAGGCCAAAAAATGTGGGGCATTGGTTATCTCAGCTCTGGATGAAATAGCATGCAAGTAAATTTTAATGTTAAATAAAGATAAAGACTATATTGTGTTAGTATGAACAGTTTTCAAATTTCATTGATATAAAGATAACTTTTACTAAAATAATGCATGGGATAAGCCTTTTTTTATTTCTGTACATGTATAAAGAAACTTTATTTCATAATAAATATTGTCTGTCTGTCTGTCCACAGATCTGTTTAACCTGCGGGGATCAGACATTGAGTACAACCCGGTCTTCTTTGCCTATGCTGTTGTTACCTTGGAAAACATATTGTATGTTATAAATTTAAAAATCTCTTTTATAAATATTTTAGAGAGATATTGTAGCATGCATATGTTTTAAATTTGATATCTTTTTACATTTTATGTTAACATAAATCTAACTGCTCTTAGTAGGATTAATTCCACAGGTTGTAATTTTCACATTGTTCTCTCTTCTGACTTGATTGTGGTTGATGAATTTCAGAATTTGTATGAAATAATTTCTCCCATATTCTTTTGTATGTATATCTTACAGAAAGAATTGCTCCCTGCTTCAAAGAAATGTTTAATTGGTGTCATTTGCTGCAAATGAAATTTCAGACAAAATTCTACATTTCAATGTTTAAGTTGTATCTTGCATGGGTCAAGACTTTCGTTGAATTCATGATTTATTAGCACCATGGATATAGCTAATATTTCCATCACAAGTTCTCTCCCCTTAATGTAGAATCTCTCTCAACTTTTCTTACAATTGTTTTGACAGGATTAAAAGATAAAAAATGTTTATCTCTTTGTATCTTGCAATAAATTTAAAGATTATTTCTTTTTATTTGAATTACAGTTTATTTATAGATGAACAAAAGCTTGACACTGAAATCAAGCATCATTTGCAGCTGAACGGAGTGAGCAGTGACCTACAGGTCATGCCCTATGACAAGGTCGGGGAGGTCATCAAAACTCTTGTGGACCAGGTCGAGGGTAAATTCTGGGTAAGGTCAAGGACATGATTTTCATTTATCTTAAATTCTTAGGACTAAGAATTTAGTTATACATTTACTTCATGCACTGAATTCAAATTTTTCCAAAGATTTTTATCCCTGTTTAAGTTTTTGATTGTATCTTTTGATATTCGTAGAATCCATATTTTTGCATTGTCACCTTTCTTTCTTTTCAGATCAGTCCCAAATCTAGCGTAGCTTTGACACACTGTGTTGATAAAGTAAGAAGGAAAATATTACATCTAATTTTGTCTTCTTTTTCCTCTGAAGTGAAAATGTTTTTGCTAATTTTAAAAATGTTTTGAAATAAAGTGAAAATTATTTATATGAACAAAGGTTTTCCTGGCAATTTCATTCATTGTATGAAAGATGTTTTCCAAACATATTGAGTTTACAGATACATGGAAATTTTTCATTTCTAGCTTTGGTTACATTATTGCGACCTTCTTGATTACAGAGTCGATTGTTTGCCCAGACATCCCCGGTGGCTGTAATGAAGGCGGTGAAGAATGCAAAAGAAATCCAGGGAATGAGAACGGCTCATGTATGTCATACACATGTTTATAGAACTTAATGCATTACTGAGTTAGATTATATAGGGTTTTAGCAATATTTCTGGGTTTTTTACCCTGTTTATTTGATGTACGTATAAAACAAGTTTTAAAGACAATTGCTGGTACTTTTTTCTTTGTAATAGAAATTAATACCATAACCACTTGATTTTATAGATAAGTCTTTCCGAACATTTGAATATTAAAAGTGATATGTACATTACAGATAAAAGATGCTGTCACACTTTGTGAGCTGTTTTCTTGGTTGGAGAAACAGGTGAAGATCTCTTAAACATTGATTAATTTTGTAATTGTCAGCAATGTCAGAGACCTTAAATAAAGTAATTCAAATACAAATAACAATTTAAAATTTAATTATCTCAGACATGTTGAATATTTGTTTACAACTGTTTTCTGTACGTCTTGACACATATAATAAATCTCTTTTCATGCTTAACATGGATTTTATAGACTTTGTTGTTTTGTTTTACCAGATTCCCACCGGAGCAGTGACTGAGGTCTCTGCTGCAGATAAACTGGAGGAAATCAAACAGTAAGAAGGAGGAAAATAAAACAAACAACAAAATAATCCAGTATATATTGTATAGCAGTGGGCATACATGTGAAATTACTATACAAAGTGTACATAAAAAATAAATTGATAATGTATATAGAAAATGGTCATGACATGAAGTCATGTCTTAATTTTATAGAAAAAAATCCTCTTGCTTTTTTAAGGGAACAAGATGACTTTGTGAGTTTGAGTTTTGCTACCATATCAAGTACTGGTCCTAATGCTGCCATTATACACTATAAGTAAGTCCGGACTTTTGTCTAGTATAGTGAGCTAATTTTATCACAGACTGATGTATTGATCAATAACTTGTCTTGTTTTTATCACTGACTGATGTATTAGTGAATATGTTGGTTTGTTTTTATCTCTGACTAATATATTGGTGAATACCTTGTCTTGTTTTTCAGACCTACAGAGGAATCAGACACAGTCCTCAGTACAGACAGTATTTTCCTGTGTGACTCGGGGGCACAGTACAAGTTAGTACTCAGCTTATTGTAGGATAGAGTCATTTCTAAGTTTTTTCCATTCATCTTCAAAAGCTCATCCATCTTTTTCTTCTTTATGTCCTTCCAAGACACTGGATGACATGCAGTTCCTTTTCATAGTTCACTTAGTAAAGGAAATGCAGTAAATATAAATATTTTGTCTTGTGCAGTTAAGATGTATAAAAAGTTTTACAGATAATTTTCATTCTAGAGATGGTACGACAGATGTCACAAGGACAATTCATTTTGGAGTTCCGTCCAGTCATGAAAAGGTATTTATATCTACTTTTAATAAATGTGTTCTTTTAACTTACTGTATTACAGGGTTATTTTTGCCCGGTGTTATTTTCGCCCTTTCATATTTGGAAACAAGTCTGCCCCATTTCAAATTCGCCCGGAAAGAATTTTTGTTTCAGATACTGTTTACTTTGAATTCGCCCAGTTTTAAATTTGACCACTTCCGACGAGGGCGAAAGGGGCGAAATTAAAACCCTGTATACAGTTTTTATTACTTGCTACTGCAACTTGTAGAGATAATAAGAGTTAAATTTTACAAATGTTTCATTATGTTGTTTTTTCTAGGAATGTTACACAAGAGTTTTAAAAGGACACATTGGTTTATCATCTATTATCTTTCCCAATGAAACAAAAGGTAGAGTTTTTAATAAACGGATATTTAAATCTACATACTGTTCAGTTTTTTGCTTTAATGCTTAGACAGTATAAGAGCTTATTTTCTAGTAAGGTGTTCATCACATGTCTGTCAATGAACGGTTTTTCAAAATGTTACTTTTTCAGTTTCTTGTCCAATTGCAACATGAGCACATGTTTACACTATGCTAAGATATATATACTGTACATGTATGTGTACTAAAAATATTATTATTTTCCTCTCTTTGTATTTTCATCTTTTTAATGCTTTTCAAATTAAATGATGATAACAGGTCACATGTTAGATACCTTGGCCAGAACAGCATTATGGGAAGTGGGTCTGGATTATGCTCATGGAACGGGTCACGGAGTGGGGGCCTTCCTGAATGTTCATGAAGGTAAAGATTTTGCACACTTACTTTTTGTCATAAAAAATAAAAGAAACCAGAAATTGGAAGATATATTACTCTGCTAAATCTTTCAAACATTTAATTCCGATATTACATACACCCGTAAATATGTTGTGGTGAAAATAATTTTGTCAATGATCATTTAAAAGTACCTTGTATGTTTGTGTTGCTTGTATGTTATGATGCGATTGTGTTTTGTTTACTCCTTTGTCTTTTGTGGTATTTATCTGTAGAATCTTGTATGTTTTTGTTGCCTGTATGTTATGATGCCATTGTGTTTTGTTTACTCCTTTGTCTTTTATGGTATTTATCTGTGGAATCTTGTATGTTTCTGTTGCTTGTATGTTATGATGCCATTGTGTTTTGTTTATACCTTTGTCTTTTATGGTATTTATCTGTGGATTCTTCCTGTTTAAGGCCCTTGTGGAATTAGTCCCCGAGTCTCGGCGGCAGAGATTCCCCTCGAGGCTGGAATGATCCTGTCTGACGGTAAGCTGTGTGTCAGATAACTCCATACTGAATCAATATTAATCTATCTAATCCATTCTTTCATTCTTATCACAGTAGTCTTTTGATTAGGTCAATTTAATTTTTTGTATATATAGATGCTTTTTTAATAATATTATGTAGCTAGAGTGTATTTACTATATAAGATAAAGTTTATATGTCAAAATTTTTAGAAGGTGATTTGAAACATAATTTTATTATTTAGAGCCCGGTTATTATGAGGATGGAAAGTTTGGTGTTCGTATAGAAAACCTGGTTCTGGTTGTAAAAGCTGAGACAAAGGTATTATCATGGCATTGTTTATTTACAGGTATTTAAATTGTTCATAATATCTTGAAGAAAATAGACATACCCCATTATGCATTTTGAATTTTCTTTTTCAGCATAATTTCAGAAACAAGGGATTCTTAACCTTTGAACCCTTGACCCTTGTACCCATGCAGCTGAAGATGATAGAGCCCTCCTTATTAACAGAGAAAGAGGTGGGATTTATTGCACAATATCTCAGTAAAACTGATACTTGTATCTGTACATTAACAAAAAACTAGATCATAGCTATCATAGACATGTACATACAACTGCACTTATAACTTATTGATCAATCGGTATATCCTCATTTTAAAATTTTATGGCTCTTCAATTTACATTGACAAATCATGCTTGAAGTTGAACCATATCTTATATGGACTTGAATCAAGCAGTCTTTTCAATTCATGTATCTTCAGGCAAATGTAGCATGGTTCTAAAGTAATGTATCATTAACTGTTTTTTAGACGATATCAAATTATTGTACTCACTTTCGGTTATACTAATGTTCTCATGTATAGTATCTATCTTGTTGGTAGGGTTGAGATTTAAAATTAAAAGTGGCCCCACTTCCATCAACACTGGTTACTTAACTAGGTATGTTTTGACTTTTCCTTGACAGATAAGCTGGTTAAATGACTACCATACAATGTGTAGGGATATAGTGGGACCTGAACTTAAGAGGCAAGGAAAGAAGGAGGCATATGATTGGATGATGAGGGAGACCCAAAGCATTGGATAATACAGATGTATGGATTGGTTAGATTTGTGATCTGTCTTTTTATGCATTGTGAACAGATTTTCTACATTTGACTAGGAACTAGTTAATTTATATCCAACATTGTCATTTTGATTCATGCTCACTTTCAATTCATTTTGTAAAAATTTCAAACAAGGAAGATTAAATCAGCAATATTTTACAAATTTTATGTGATTGTTTGGGACAAGTACACCTTAATTGTCATAGAGTTCTGACAGATTTGAATTTAGAGAATGATGGTCTTAGTTGTAAGAGAGGTCCCCTCATACTGGAAAATGTCAGCAACTGCCTCTGTTACTGGGGTCCACCTCAATATCAAGCTGCTCTTTGGAAACAATACCTTTATTTTATTCTAAGTTAGTTTTTTCTAGGTTTTAAGCTGTAAATAATACAGAAAGATGTGTTTGTGAAGCACTGATGCCCCGTATGGCAACATAGCAAAGATTAAATTTTTCTTAAATGCAAATTTAATATATTGGTACCAAAAGTAGGGTATTCTCACTGGAAATACAATTGTGAAATATGAAAATAGACCAAGGATAAAGTTTTTTCATAAGTAAGGAAATCTCCAAGGTCAAGGTCAAAAGATCAAGGTAATTGGTATCCAATGAAAGGTCTTTATTGCCACAAAAAATACACATGTGCATTATGGAAGTCCTAGCCCTAACCCTTCAAAAGTTATGGCCAAGGTTGAAAAATTTAAAAAGTAGGTCAAACTCCAAGGTCAAAGTGTTAAAGGTCTTGTTATCAAATGAAAAGTCTTGTCACAAGGATTAAATATGTAAAGTATGAAAACACTAGCCCTAACCCTTGAAAAGTTATTGTCAAGGTTTGCTTTTTAAAAGTAGGTCAAACTCCAAGGTCAAGGTCAGAGAGTTAAAGTTCTTGGTATCCAATGAAGGGTATTCTCACAAGGATTACATATCTTAAGTATGAGATCACTAGCCCTTAGCATTCAAAAGTTATAGCCAAGGTTCAAGTTTTTTCATAGGTACGGAAATCTCCAAGGTCAAGATTGTTGGTATCCAATGAAAGGTCTTTCCACAAAAAATACATATTTTAAGTATAAATGTTCTGGTATCTATTGTTCAAAAGATATGGCCAAAGTAAAAGTTTGAAAAGTTTTTTGTAAAAGTGGGTCAAACTCCAAGGTCAAGGTCAAATTTGGAGGTACCCAACAAAAGGTCTTGTTACAAGGAATACACATGCGAAATGTGAAAGTCATAGCTCCACTAAATCAAAAGTTATGGGCAAGGTTAATTTAAGGAATCACTGTCTAGTTAGTATAGTATGCCAGGGCATCAATGATAGTAAGAAACATCGTATAGCCTGTTATGCATAAATTATCCCATGTTTCCCACTATCGTTGATGTCCCCTGGCATACTACACTAACTAGACAGTGATTCCTTATATTTCCATTTCATTGTGAAATAAAATTAGAGATTTAGACTTTACAAATGTAGACATACTAGTAGATTTAAATTACACGAGGACTCCAAGGCCAATTTCAATAGTCCTCGCCTACTGACGTCAAAGGCAAAGACAGCCGCAGAGATTTACATGGATATTTGGCCTCTTTAGCAACAGGGACAGATGCGCACGAGATTTGCATGCATATTAGGCCTCCTTAGCTCTTGACCTATCGACCTGCCTAATTTACATTCTGGTAGAATTATCAAGAATCAACTCCACTAACTTTCAAAGAGTTATCACAGAGGAAAAAAATTAGAAATGGAAATATAGTTTTTGCGGACAAACAGACAGAGAGACAGACAGACAGCTATACAGACAAACACAACAAAAACTCTAGATACCCCCAAAACTTCGTTTACATGTATAACCATCTTTTTAAAAGGTCTAATCCTACAAGAAGTAAAATATAGGCCCCCAATGCTTCCTAAGTTCTTGACTTAGGCCAAATGAGGCACACGTTGTTTACGGTGTAATTTAAATAAACACAGAATACAAAATTAAGCAATATCTCTCAACAAGTTTAATATATACATCTCTCAAAACGTGACACAACAACAGTTAATACTACTTGCGTAACAGCGAATAGTTTACAGCTCTTTACAATGTCGTAAGTTTTAAATGAGCTGAGTCAATAATTCAAAGGTTAATAAATGGGACTCAAACGGGGGGAGGGGTAATGTCCATGATGAAGAAAATGAAACAAAATAAATTATTGAAATGGTTTGTTATGGCTGAGTTATATCACCAATAAGCAGCATCCACGCATGCCCAATTTTTTTTGGGAGCATTAAGTTTTTTTAAAAATTTTGGAATCCTACGCAATGTTAATCCGCCACTCTTTTGAAGCAAAGCCCAAACTTTTACTTTGGTCACCGCGTGGTGTGACGTCATCAATCCATAATGGAGCGAGAATTGGCTGGAAGGCCCTGCTGCTGTCGCCAACACGCCAGGCGGTGCTGATACCACAGCTAAAAAATAAAAGCTTTAACATATAGGTCAGACTCCAAACGGTACTGATACTACAGCTAAAAGGGAACAAATAAAGGCTTTAAAATATATGTATTGATGTTTTGTTTCAGTTTTACTAGGGTAAAAGACACAAAATATATTTTGCATTCTTTTATTTAAAAAAAAAAAAAAGACGACATTTCTCAATATAATTAATAAATTTCCCAACGAATTTGTATTTGTAAAATTGCTAGTTTAACAAGTTTCCTCACCAAAAATGGCGATAATTTACCTGACACTTATGCAAGATTCCAGAGGATAGGATTTCTTTTATGACACTATACTATAATCGCTTGAATTGTTGACATCACACCTTATTTTTATACATTTTGAAAACAGTTTTAGAATTTAATAAAAAGATGATAGATACAATAAACATTTTTGATATTTTTAGGAAAAATTTTTGATGAACTTCTCGTCAGATCCTTTTTTTTTTTTTTTTGAGGGTGGAGGGGGGGGGGGGGGTAATTCATATCTTTTCCCCGTGTTGGTCTGTGTTAATATATCAAAAGATGGAAGAAGGCTAATGTAACGTTGTGACACATCAATGAAACTATCTGTTACATGTTAACTCTGTCACTTTTATCGACAATCAGATTGTTTGGTCAGTAAACATTAAGATGATCAGATATCGGTGTTCATTGAAGGTAACGTTTAGTGGCCCATCATTCCGTGTCATTTTCCCCTAATCAACGAATCTGTGTAATTTACGGTAAAATTTGTGTAAATTTTGAAAAAAGGGGGGGGAAAATGTTATGTTTTTAAAATAATATTCAGATTACAAAATACTGCCTCCCAATAATATTTGTTACGAGATTGAAAAGGGGGGTTCAACCTTCAAAAATTTTGTTTTTTTTATTTGTCCCCCCCCCCCCCTTTTTAAAGATTTTTGAAACCATTATTGTTAATTTCTTGAATTGAAAAGCTATTCATTGCATCATAACTGCCTAATTTACCAAAAAGTTTTAACTAAAAATTTCGTGACTAACACGTGCACATTTTCTTAAAAGAAAACTTAATTCCTTTTCTGAAGAAAAACACAACTTTTTTTTTTTTTTCCGGTTTGGAGAAAATTTTTTCCCCCGTGTATTGTGGGGCCCTTTTCATACAAAATCACTATTAATCAAAGGAATTATTATTTAACAGGGAAGCGGCAAACAACAGCATCACATTTCTTAAGATCACAATAAAAAGGAAAAAAAATTATTACAAGTATATGCATTTATTAAATAAATTCTTCCTTTGGTTTGTGACAAAATGATATATCGGGCCATTAAAATATATTCAAATTTGTCTATAAATTTCTTAGGAACAATTTAAAAACAAATTGTCCACATTTCTAAATATACTGACAATTGTTAAAATTTGGAAAAATTTAAATTTTGTAAGTGGGCGTTTTTTCCCAAATTTTAATACAAATCCTTGTATCGCAAGACTAAAGCAGAAAGGAACAGTGGGGAAAACGAGCTTTATATAGATTTAAACAATAAACTTATCGGAACTAGCTCTGTCTTTGATCTACGTTGGTTGATAAAAGCACGGTTTTTAAATGAAGCCTTTTTACTTACTTTGTGTTATAAAGAATTTCTCAGATTAGATTTTTTAGCAGTAGGGTTAAAAAAATTATATATCAACAAGTGGAGGGGGGTCAGCGGTCGTGGTTTGGTAGCTAGCCAGTTGTCCCGGACTTGCGGAAGTGTCAGTATATATCAAATATACTGTACTTTACACATAGTAATACAGAATGTTGTAGTAAAAGAAATGTCAGGTAGTATATATCAAATATACTGATGGCAAAGTAAAACCCCAAAATTGAGAACAGGTTATATATAGATTGCCGAACTGTATAAATAGAACATATCACGCCCAAGGTACACAAAGATAGTGTATCTAGAACTTACGTATTAATCTTTTTATTTTTTTTTTTTTTGTCAATTTTCAAGTTCTTATAAGTCCCGGGTTCAATTTCGTACCTTGGCAATATTTGTGTAAGCACTTTGAGAGATTTATTGCGTAATGATATTGGCACACATGGTTCACAACGTACACAAGTATATATAATTGATAGGCATATTTGTCATCTATTGATGTAAAGTCAAATATACAGCTACTTAGAGGACATGGGGACTTAATTTACAACCAAACACGTGTATATAGAACAATTACGTGTTCGTATCGTAGATTAATTAAACAAGGACAACAACCCCAAAAATTATTTTTCCCCATTTTCTATCCAGAAGTCAGAAGCAACAAAGCCAAAAATTACCGTGATGTCTAATGACAGATTATGTGACCTGAACAGGCACTTGATATTGTAATAATTTAACCCATAGTATTATTATCATTCATTACAGAATCAAGGGTCTGTGGTGACATGTGTTGCACATTTAGACTTCGAATGATATAACGAATCAATACTTTAACAAGGATGATAATGTGAGTCATAAAGAAATTAACTTGTCATTTGTCAAATTAAGGTTACCTTGACGTTTTCTTCGGAAAGCCCCGCTTCTGCCGCTATGAGTGTAAGGTCTAGGTCTGTGGGGTTCCGATTGCTGCGGAAGTTGGCCTGAAGAACTTTCTCCTGGTCCTCCTTAATTATCGGCAGCCGGGTGGAGGGGGTCAGTTGCGCTTGAATATTGCAGTTGTTCACCGACATATTTCTTAGATCCACCACATTCAAAGAAATAAATTCACAGATCTTTCCAATAGGTCCTTACCCGCTAAATTATTAATCCTATTAATTATTTGCTTTGTCACATTTATATGGAACTGAATACACTGCCTTTCAATGAAATCCGTCACATCCCATGAAATTAACACGATTTGATCTTTAATTAATCTGTTAATTTCCGTAATTTCTACATGTCAATAACAAAAGTACATAAGTTAATAGATAAATCTTTCGTCAGATGCCTGCTGATGTCGCTTCGCTAATGTACTCTTGTTTAGCGTATTTCCTCGTTAACTGCTGGGTAATCCGCTTTAGAAATGTGTCCCCGCTATTTCTGTACTAGAGCGGATAAGCTCGCGGCGAGATTCCCTTTTCTGAGGCTATTTCAAGTTCCCCTGGCTAAATTCCTTGCTCTTTGTTAATCCAAGGCAGTTTTTGTCACCAGTGTTTATAAAACTTTTCCTTAAGTAAATATTTCCTTCGCAATCAATTGAACGGCTTGAATACACGGCCTCCGCTCTTCTGTCGTATCGACCCTCCAATGATGGCGTTACTCGTCGATCTATCGATCCGACGGTCGGGTACGTGCAAGGAAACCAGACAACATGTCGAAATATAAAGCAATTAACCCGATCTTTTAGCGCAGTTAATAGGGGTGTTCTTTTATTGTTCTATGTATCACATTGCGGATCTAATCTAAACGTGAAAGATATACATCATTATTTCTCAATGCATCAAAGCAGCTATGATTTTTTTTGAATTAAGCGATTGCTGTGTATGTGACAAATTTGGGAATAGTTTCATTTCTGCGAAAGATTTCACGTTCTGTCAAAAGACTTCGCGGCGGCGGACACACTGGGGAGGCCTCTTCTCATGTTAATGTGAACGTTAGGTTTGTGGGTTTTGATGTGACAGACGATCAAATTTAAATACACTTCTGAACCCGAATCGCACTTTTTAAACATCTGAGAAGTTAGATAAAGAGTGCGCAGAGAGAAGCGAACGCATCATTGATGTATTTTAAATATTTCTTAGCTATTTAACTCGCTGACGGTCAAGGTTAAAGTACATGTATACTCCCGTTATTTCGATAAAAAAATTTAATCTATTGATCTTACTTACAATATACCCTGATTTAGATGTACAGATTACATATTTCTGCTTGACTTATTTTGTTTTATGTTTATCCGTACAAGTTATACAGCGTTTAAACAATAATGACATTTGCGCGGGAAAACTTGAAGCTTCTCGATATGACTACACTAAATTGACTATCACCGGCTCTTCATTTTTAAGTTATTACACAATCGTGATTTCATTATAAATACTTCTTTTTTCTTAGTCAAGTTTAAAGTTCTACAAATTATAGCTGCCTTCAAATGTTACGAGAATGCGATATATCAAGATTTTTCGATCTTAGGGAAAAGGGATAAATGCAATAGCAAGCACCTACATGTACCAATTAAGAAGAAATAAGACATGCAAGTTACCGGCAATGCATTTGCTCTTTATAAATTAGATTCTGGGAATGCATGTTAAGGAGATTCCATTAAATATCTGAATTTTACCGGATTACAATGCAGACATTTTCTTACAAGGACCAATCCACCCACTGCCTTCCTTAGAAGGACCAATCCACCCACTGCTTTCCTTAGAATATGACTAATTCACCCCCAGTTAATCCTAAATAGAAGGACCAATTCACCTACTGCCTTCCTTAGAAGGACCAATCCACCCACTGCCTTCTTTACAAGGACCAATCCATCCACAGCCTTCCTTAGAAAGATCAATCCATCCACTGCCTTCCATAGAAGGACCAATCCACCCACTGCCTTCCTTAGAAGGACCAATCCACCCACTGCTTTCCTTAGAAGGATCAATCCATCCACTGCCTTCCATAGAAGGACCAATCCATCCACTGCCTTCCTTAGAAGGATCAATTGCCCACTGCCTTCCTTAGAAGGATCAATCACCCACTACCTTCCTTAGAAGGACCAATCCACCCATTGCCTTCCTTAGAAGGACCAATTACCCACTGCATTCCTTAGAAGAAGAAACAGCCTTCAAACTACCTTCCTCAATCCTCACTTTGCCTTCCTTAGAAGCATTAATCCTCTCTCTGTTTTCCTTAGTATCAATCCATTATCCAAAAAAGATAAATCAGTATCCTTGATCTGCCACATCAATTAATCCACATACTGTGTGACCTGCAAAAGGGTCAATTCACACACTACCAATAAAAAAATGTATCAGTTTGTCAGTCTATGTCAAACTACATGTAGTGGTAATTCACAATACATGTACCATCCTATTGAAGCATTGTGTTGAACTGGGGGCTCCGACGCTCAGACACACAATTTTGTCTGAAAATTTTGGTTTGAAAGGGCCTGTTCCTGTATGTGAAGGAACTTGAATCCCTTTTTGCCAAGTTTGCTTTGAATTCGTTCAGGGGCTCTAGGGAAGAAGGCAACGATGGAAATCCAGAGACAGGTTGCCAATGGCACACAAGCTGTAATCTTTCATACACAAAGTTTTGACTTTTTGATATATGATATTATAAATATTTTTAAATCAAAAAAAAAAAAAACGAAAAAATTGGCATAACTGACAAAATGAAATGCTTGCAAAAGCAATTTCAGTATTTTGTTTCTTTTCCAGTGAAATGATTCTTTTGTTTTAGAACAAGAGTATTGGTGTATAGAGTTTATGTACAGAAAACAACAAAGTTATCTTCAGTCAGTGTATTTTATTTTCAACAAATTGCAATAAGTAATTATAAAACAAAAATAACTTAAATTTATTATCAACATTTGACCTGTGTATCAGATAATATACCATGCAAGTCCAGCAGAAAAGTAATTTAGAACATAAAAGAAAATTACAAAGGTATTCTAGAAAATGTTTCATTGTGGTAATGTTTTATCATGCCTACAATTTGATTCATTTTTATCAGTGAACCCATAGGATGTATTTGATTGACCATGATCCGCAAGTTAAAAATATATACAGACATACTTTGAAGACTTCAGCATGTCAAATGGACAAAAGGTTTTATAAGATGTGCTCTTAAGTTGATTTTCTCTCTCATTCTTGAATCATTATTTTTTTTTGTCAGAAGACAGCAATTCTGATTAATTCACACAAGTTATGGAAACTATATTTTACATTTATGAATTTTACTCAATATAACTAAGTATTTTCAATGAAAACTGATGTGTATGTGTGCAGGGGAAAATTTGTCATGAATATCTTTAATAAGAAATCTGATATCTTTGAAGGTTTGCATACATATGGAAATATCCTTATACACAAGGTCTTTTAAAAAATGCAGGAGGATACAGTCAAAATTAATTATCAGCTGTGAAAGTTCAGAGTTCACTTGTCTGATGTATCACATCAAATTCCCAGTGATTTGAAGAAACTTAGTTTTTGATCCACAGATGCCTTGGAGTCAGTTTTCTTAGAACATCACTGTCATAAAATCTAACATCAAAAAATAAGCAGAGGTCCACATTTAGAAGCAGGCACAGGGAAAATATGTCAGGAAATTATAAATAATCTTGCACAATGTTGTACACTGGAGTTCCTTGTAAGTAAATTATTTTCATTCATTTAAATAGATACAATAAATGTTAACAATGAATGTTATCCAAAAAACCCACATTGCAATTTTGTGTGCATACAAATTGAAAAAAAAATGTGACTGTTAGCAATTACACATTAGTTAAAAAAGTTATCAAATTACTTAGACAGTTATCTCTCTTTGTAGGTTCTTGGTTTATCAAAGAAGCAAATAACCCACTGTGTATGTTAATGAAGTAGACTATGAATTCTACGGTCCATTGTCCGTTTTTCTATTTTTGATATTTGTGGGGGACTTGGTGACCCTACTAATGACACAGGCTTGGGGGAGCCATAATGAGTGGGGGTGATAGAGGTCAATCTGACACTGACGTCACTGAAGGAGCTGACCCTGGCGATATGGAAGATAACCTTGACCTATGACCTGATTGGATGGAACCTTGTGAGATAGATGATAACCTTGACCTAGAAGGACCAGAAGACACAGACAGGAAGTCATTGTGATCCATGCCTCCTTGTGTAGAGGAGGCTTGGGAACTTCCTGAAAGACGACGTTCGTATGGGTCTCTCTGAATCGGCTGGACCTGTAACCATGGTGACGTGGCCTGGTGAGGTGACTTTGTCTCTGATTTAAGTTGTCTGTGAAGGTGCTCTTGTGAAAGCTGTGGAACAGCAACTGACACTCCACTGAAAATAATCAGCATTCATATGTGTACGAGATCTCGAAGAAAGTTGACGTAGTGATTTACATTGCAGAAAGATTATTCTAACTAAAAGCAGGTGAAATTTTTGTGAAAAATATACATTTCTACTTTTATTTGTGTGAGAACAATTAAAGTGTAATAAAAGGCAAGTAAACACTGACCTGTCAATTCGTCTGTATCCAGAAAAGGGAGGAGAAGCATTTGGGGATGATGAATCCTCATCATCATACAATATTCCGGGGGTCTGGATGCTTGGAATTGGTGGAGGGACTAAAAAATAACAAGTCAATTAAATTTAATTTGAAATATATCAACTTATTTCTTGAATGTTATCTTTTCCATTATCTGTAGCTTCCACAAAAATTTTTTTGGAATGAGGGAGGGGGGGGCATTTTTTTTCACTCACCAGGAGACTTGATCTGAGGTACCCTAAGTGGTGCCAGTTCCCTGGAGGATTTGCGAGGTGGGGGTGTTTTGGGGAGGTCCTGAGGGATGGGGGAGGGGGGTAGAGGTGACATCCTGGGGCTCATCACAGGAGGGAGCAGGTTGCTGGTTCCCATGCCAACACCAATATTCTGGTTGTCAAGGCGACTCTTGTCCTTGATGAGACTGCTCCCAGTGTGAAGGTCGTAGTTTTCTTCAAATGTTGTTGTTGCTGATGTCTGCAATATGAAGAGAAAATATTTCAAAATCAAATTTTGCTTTATTTTACCTTTTTTTCCTGACAAATAAATCTATAGAAAATATGAGGGAAGTGAAAACATGTTAAAATTGACCAAAAACATTTACCGTAATAAATTTATATAAATCAACCATACTATTATCAATTAACTCGTACACAAAGATAGAGACCTTTGTTTCAGAGTGTTGAGATGAGAAGAGGAGCTTATAGTAGACTTATTTCTATGCTCCCCCTCTCCATAAAGAAACATAATCATGGTCCATTGAAAAGATAGTTAATTAATAGCAGTGTTAATATTAGGAAGATTAACTCTGTTACCTGTCTGTGTGAGCGTTTCTGTAAAAAACAAATGTTGTAAAACAGGTTGAGTTAATTAGCGAAATGAATAAAATTAATTTCAGATTCAGAATGTTATACAAACAGAACATTTACAAAGTTAATTTAGAAGTATTAATTCTCCGTTATTCAAAACAACATAAGCTTGACTGTTTCAACTAGGAAATTGTACTTTTCTTTGTTATTAAAATCTATTATAATAATTAGAATCTATGAGTAGAGCATT